AGATTGGTGATGAACTGATGATCACTAGTGTACTTTTAATAGGTATTTTAATACAAGTTAATGATGTATTAATTATATTTTTTTAATTTATTTATAAAAAAAATTAAAAGGTAACTTTAATTTGATATTAGTGATAAAAATAAGAGTTTATCTACCGTATAGCCCTAGAGTACATATTAAGGGGCATTAGTTGCACATTTTTATTAATGAGCTTTTCTAATTTATATTTTAGGACATAAGTTTAAAGTGTAATTATTACATATTTTAACTTTTAAGTCATATAGAAAAAATAAATGTTAATTTTATAAAGAAAAAGAAAATATAAATGTTGATTTTAATTTTAGCAATTACTCAGTTAAATTAATATAAGTGGAATTAGTGCTAAAATAAATATCATTTTTTTTATTTTTTATATGACTTAAAAGTTAAAAATACATTAATTTCACCTTTAACTTGTAAGATAATGACATATGTTAGAAAAATTATAAAAAAAAAAAACAAAAGTTAATTTCAATTTCAATGTCAATGACATGTATGATTTAATTAAAGGGTTGATAAAATTAAAATTAATTTTTATTTTCATAAAAATTAATTAAAAATATAATTAATACATTCATAATACTCTCAACACAAATATTAAAAAGACTATATCTTTGTAAATAAAAATATAATTAATACACTTCTAACAAGAATTAATACACATATTAAAAAGACTATATTTTTGTAAATAAAAATATAATTAATACACTTCTAACAAGAATTAATACAATAACTGTATACAGAGGTGCCGAACCGTTTAGTCATGCAATAGGAAAGTTATGTAAAAAAATGTTTAGAATTCGAAACTCAAGTCACGGAAATGATACCTCAATATATCTGTTGCATCGTTAAATACTTCAAATCTCCAAGAATGAAAAGGAAGTTAGAATAATAAATAAAGTGAGAAGAAGTGAGAACCAAAACTTAAAGAAAGAGAACTATATTTGGTGGAAAATTATTTGTTCCAAAAAGTAGCAACATTAATGTTGGACCTTTTATAAAGAAGGCCAAAATAACTCAATAGTCTTTTACTCCTCTTCATTCATCACTTCCCTGCAATTGCTTGCAAGTTTTCTCGTTTACATTTGCTTGACCACATTTGTCAAGTAAATGTGGAAATTGACAAGTAATAAATATGATGCATGTATATGCCAATATGTAATATAAGAGTGGAAGCATTTCAAAGTAGGAACCAATTTCTAGATAATTTAATTAAGTCCATATATGAGATAGATAGGTATAGAAATTTCAAACTAAGAAAGTAGTATGGAAAGATCTATATTTAATGGATAGGTAAGAATCTCTTTCTTAAATTCTCTGTAAAGTATTGATACATACATCACTTCTTAATCATAATAGTAGTTCATATATAAACATCATCCATCACAAACATGGTGTAGTTAATATTAATTGAAACTTCAAAAGGAAAATAAAAGAAGCCGCTTTACAATTTGAACACAAGGGCATTGATAAAGACTTGGATCATAATATCATGACCAAGAGTCTAATCAAGTCTTTCATTGGTATAAAGTCTTTAAAAATATTAATTCTCACCATTCAATTAATTCTTGAACAAAAAAATCAGAAGTTAATATTCTTAAATATAAAAAAA